CTACGTTGGCTGCACATAGTCGAGCTCCAAAACTCGGAATTCGCGCGCGTAGAAGCATTTCTGTTATGAAATTCGCTACATTTCCATAATGGAGTTTGGTGGTGTCTGCCTCGTCGCATTGAGCGCCCCGACGACTACACTACCGAAGGCGAACATTGCGCTGCGCTTTTCGTCATTTTCCATGGTCTGCCGGTTTAATCTTCTAACGTAGATATATATAACGCGGAATGCTGCCGCTGCTGCGTGTACATTATGCCTATAGCAGTGCAGCTGCACGAGCACGACTCGAGCTCGAGCTCGCTCGCTGTGTGCAGTTGCATGCAGGTGAAAGCCTCGCTCGAGCTATATCGTGTATTATATCGTGGCGCTCTGTAGTGCAGCTCCGTGCAGCTGCTGAGCTGCCTCTCACTCACTGCGTCGTGATTTTCCAAGGCTATAGACGAGAGAGAGAGAGACTCTCCTTTAAGCCACTGACACAATGGCGAGCCCTGGCGCAGACGCACTGTGTACGCTTAATTGCACCGAGCCAAGCTCGCATTAATGTATACGATATTGGCGGTACACATTTTTCGCGCGTTCAACACATGTATGTGAGTAAAGTTTTTGCTCGATGCGCACTTTATGCGCTGCCATTGTATTACAGTCGCGGGTACACGTGTAATGGTGGTGTACTGTATGTGCGCGAGCGAGCACTGGAATCCGATATATCGGAGGCAAAAAGACGCGAGGCAAGCGAGTTCGAAATGAGTGCAGCGCACGCATAGATCGGTATACGTTCGCGGGATGAGGGAATTAGTTTACAGCGTTGATGAGTATGTGTGTATAAACTGTGTATGTGTGCGAGAGGCACATCGTTGCTGCTGCTGCTGCTGCAGTCGGCGGAAAGTTTTGCTCGCGGTTTTCACATAATTAGTTGCGATGCGAGCGCTGTTGATGCTGCTGCTGCTTTTGAAACTTAACACTTTGTGTTTTCCAGCTCTGCGGGTGACGCGGTTTTCGACCTAAACTTTCCCGGAGTTTAATTAAATTAGTTCCTAATACGCATCTTTATGCTTTTGTTTTGTTTGGTTTTCGAAGCTAAAAAGTCCATCATCGATGTGGCATGTAACGAAGCACATCGACGGCTAAAGTAGCAGCAGTAGCGACAATACAAATACGCTTTGGGTTTTGCCCTGTAAGGTATATAATACGCGAACGCTATGTGCATTGAATCTGCTGCAGCGCTCGGCTGCTCGTTCGAGTACTGTACGGCATCACAGTCCATGTGTGTTGCCCGCGCGCTGGCGCCTCTAGTGGCGAGCGCTGCAAATATCGATTCGCAGCGAGTATATAAGGCAAGTGCAACAAGAGGTCATCAACTGCAGCGTACACCGAAGAACTCTAATGATATACGCTTAAAACATAACAAGTTTTTTTTAACAAGAATTTCACAACATTTCAGAATTATGAAATTGACACCAACGACATATATATCTCGTTATAATTGACATGGATATGAGCGCTTAATGCACTCCACACGCGAATAAACTCGCGCACTTTTCGATTGAATTTTAATCAAATTTTTTCAATGTTATGTAATCCGATACGAGACATCCCAGTTTTTCCGGTTGTATTAATTAACGAGCATCCGCAGGATTGGGCGTTCAAGTGGCCCACTGCTAACAAACCTCAATCCAAGCTAGGCGTTTGAATACTTAATAATGTGATGTTGTTGCTATACCGGACTATGTTGCTCTCGTGGCCATATGCACGAGGCGAGACCCTGAACCTGACCGCGCAGCTTCTACTTCTGTGATATCTCGTGTTAATTTCTATGTTTCTCCGTTCTTATGACTCGTGCGTATAAGCATGTTAATGCGGCATATGGTTATGTCGAATCTATTTTGACAGCTAACTGACGTATATTAAGGCTAGTTATCAAACCACTACGTACAGCGAGGAAGAGGAGCAGAAAGCAGATGCAATGTCAAAAGGAGCCAATTAGGATGATTTTTCTCGTAGCTAGTTTTTCAGCTAAATAAGTGAAGAATAAAGTAGGGTATATAAACGTGCTGCTGCTCGCGTACTCTGAACACTGTCTGTATCCATCTACCTACACATCTAGCGCGTAGATATAGCTCGGTGGCTTTTTTTTCATATTTATTTTTCTGCAGCTAAGCAAGAGAGCTTTTATATCCTTTTGCTCGTCGTCTGTACGGTATCCTGGTCTTTACCCGAGAAGGAGCGAGTAGAGCACATAGCACGTAGCTGAAAGATTGAGAAAATGGAAAATCGACGAGCCGATAGTCGCTCGCTCGACTTGCTGAGCGCGCGCCTGATCTGGCTTGTCCGCATCTTCTTTTTCTGCTGCTCCTGCCAGAAAAGATTAAACTTGAGTTTCACGCGATGATCTTTGTGGCTTTCTTCGAGAAATGAGCGCGGAGAAAGAGACTCTCAAGCTAAGGTTTAAAATTGAGTCGCCCAGGATTATACCCATAATCGAAATTTTATTCTTGTACATTAGCTCGAAAATGTCAGAGTATTAAACGATGCACTTGTATACGTGTATACATCTGTGTGTGTGTGTTCGTGGATAAAGGCTGCCTTTATAGCCACGATACATAATAAATGTGCAGCCCACATAAAATGCAAAGAGGAGGCTTTGAGATTTCTGACAACCTCGGTCGGACTATATCGATGATTCATTCTCGACCTATGGTTTTCGAGAAATTTTCAGTCGCAACTCGCCTTTGTGAATCCATTTGAAAGCATAACTGTCTCTCTAAAGTACAAGCGTATGTATCCAAGAAAGGTGCATAAAGTTAAAAATCGAAAGAGTCATGTACGGTCACTACATCGAGGAGGAGCATCTCTCTTTTTCTGCGTGACTCAGTCTGCTGCGCGATCTTTCATTTGCAAGCGAAACGATTATATTGATTAATTTCGTTCGCTCGGCGTTCAGGAGAAAAAAAATCAAATCGCGTAAACTCGTCTGGGATGCACAGAGCAGCAGCTACAGCAACAGCAGCAGAAGGAAAAAAAGAAAAAGAAAAACTCATCAGGCTAGGAAGACATAGGGTAATAGAAAAAGAACGTATAAATTGCAAACTCTCTCAACTTTTAATCAAACAGCTTTATACAAATGCACGTGCTTATGTAGATATGTGTGTATACGTGTGTTTGTGTTAGCGCGAGCGTACGTATGTGTGTGTGTGTGTGTGTAGGTATAGAGCGAGGGAAAAAAACTTGTTCATCACACTTTGTGCGCGGGCTCCGTATGCATTCTCTGGTGCTTTTTCAAAAGTTGCTGGTGCGCGGTGTTGTTGCTTCTATGTGTTAACGACTACTACGCCAGCCAGCCCAGCTTGCGTAGATTACGTCTCTTGTAAACTTCAGCGGCGGTGACTGCATAAGTAGACAAGTTTGAAAAGGTTGACTTTACTTTTTTTTCCTGCTGCCGGAGAGCCACGCGTATACATCTCTCTGGGATGGTAAACCTCGAGAATAAGTGCAACTATACGGTCGCAAGTTGGAACGATCGGTCAATGCGTTTCGACTTCCTTGCTACGACAGTCTGATCGCAGTTTATATAGCTAACTGATGATTCCCCGATAAACAGCGATTTTCGTTTATCGCAACTTTCCATCTCTATCGATGCTACTACCCTTTAACCGAATGCGGAGTGCAGTGCAGCAGCAGCAGCAGCTCGGTGCAGGTGCAATTATAAATTACTGCCCCGCGAATATCATTGCTCTGCCTCGCGTGCGTATTATTGCGCTAATGCACTCGTACTTTATGCACTCGTTTGCCCGACTTTTAAGTGTAGGCTAATGCAACTTGGCTACTTTGCGCGATTTTTTTTACCCTCCTTCGAACTCATTATAGCTACTTTATGGCTGTTTATTGTTGCACACTCGAAGTTGTTTACTTTTTTTTTATTTTTCTTTATTACCTAGCTAGCTGCTGTCGACGTGAATTGCTCGTGGCGCGTGCATTTACGTATTACGTCTGGCATTGTTCAACGATGCATCAACACGACTTTAGCGCTGGGGCTTATCGAATGTTTTCACGTGCAATTGCTGCTCAAAACGGAGGAAAATTCTTTTGCCCATATTGAAACGTAAGTATTTAATATCAATAATATCGTAGGTTCAACCGTGCGCGATGAGAGAAGAGGAGCGCTCGCTCGCTCGCGCTTTCGTTCAAAGTCAATATCACTCTGTTGACTCAACGATTCCTCGAGTCGATAGAGTTTACAGTAAGCTGCTGCTGCTGCTGCTCTAAAAAAAGCCGCCTCCTCCGAGGAAAAAGCGAATTTTCAACGTTAAGCGCGGATCGTTTCGAAGAAATAGGAATTCTTTCTCTCTCGACTCCGTAATATACGTACGCACGCGTAGCGTATGGCACATATATATAATACATGGTACGCGCGGATAAACACAAACGCACCTGTGCTTAATTGCTCGTGCTAGCGAGCTGGCGAGCTGTCTTACTACGTTTGAAGTAATGACACAGAAGAAAAATAAAAAAATCCCAAAATCATCGTCGATAGAGCACGAAACGAGGAGAGAGTCTGGAGCAGCACTCGGTGCGTACAAGGCTGTACGCTGGAGATTTACTACGAAACTAAAGGCTCGAAAATCACGTCGAGGCCTTGTAACAGCAGCAGCGATGGAAGAGAATATATAGAAAAGGTGAGCTAACAGTTTGCCCGCGCGGAATAGAAGGTATGCTGAGAAAACAGACGAGGAAGGGAGATGTATAGGTATACACACAGACAAACAAGGTGCACACGAAGCGAACGAGGCGCATTCCGACGAGCACGTCTATTACTGCAGACGTCGGACTGTTGTAGATGTGTATAAAAGAGATGGTGTAAATGTATAGATCCAATAGGAAAAAGGAGCAGAAGCGGCAGCAGCAGCAGGAGCAGACTGCAAAGAGTCCTGTCTACCGTGCAGCTGCCGAAGTGTATCATTGCAAGGACTGTAGGTATAACGATGATCCTGTGTGCTACTCACCGAGGCCAGCTATGAGGAGTGCCGCGACGATCCACATCGTGGATGCTATCCTGGTTAGCGAAGTATTCATGATCGTCGATTGCAATTCACTTCGCGATCGCAACACACTCTTTTTCTTCGCTTTTCCGTCGATCACGTCATGAAAATCATTCGCGATTATTCACGTCACTATTTTTATATAATATTGGCGATTATTGCACTGCGAAAACTACTATTGCTTTGCTCCTTCTCCTCGCACACTTGATTTTTCACTTTTTTCTTCTTCAACCTTTCGATCACTGTTCACGAATATATATAATGAAAAATCAAAAATGTACACTTCGTTGCGGTCGAATGATCATCTCGTCTTTGCGACTGAAATGGAGTTTTTCGACCCTGCTCTAAAACACCTGGTCGAGTGTCGTTGCTGGTTCGACTTCAACATCGATCACCACTGTAATTGACGTAAAATCACTGTATCGCACACCGATATATCACCCAAACAACAATAACAAACAACAAACAACGATGACAACGACTGAACAACAACACTGAAAAACTGTGATGCACTTGATTGCGGGCACACACCGATGATCGCGCGCGCGTTCTCCAAGTCGGAGCAGCTGGTTACGTCGTACGTTTGTCACCCCGTTTCGGAGCGATATCGAATAACGATTCGCAGCAGCGGCACAAAAAAAGCTGCAACCACCACCACAAACACAATTGCACAATGTTCCAGTTTTGAGAAAATTCCGGAAAAGATTTCTCTGAAAATTTCAAAAGCTGGCGAGGATGATACAGAGCGAGGTTCAGCGAACCGACACCAAGCTTGCTCTCTGTAAATCGTGGTATATAGTGTAGTAGTGTATAGTATAGTTGAGAGAGCGTATTTTTTCGCGCAACGCAGCGTGTATAGGAGGAAAGCACGAACGTCACGGCGCGCACGATGCTTGCTGTTCAAGAGCCGCGCGGCAACTGAAGCTAAGGGCCGCGCGGTAGGGGTAAAACGCGCGCTCTCTCTCGCGCTCTCGCTTCGTGCAGCGCGCGTATAGCTGTTCTGTGTCTCTCTGTGGTCTTCCCCCACCAGCAGCAGCAGCACCGCTCTATGACCGTCCACGACTACGTATACGACGACGGAGAGCGCCTCCAACTCCACTCCGGAGCAGCAGCAGCAGCAACGTATACTTCTGAGCTGCAGAAAGTCCCCCTCTATACACACAACAGCCAGCCGTATATATACGCTGTGTGTACGTTCTGGGGCAGCGCGCGTATTTGTGCCGCCGTCGCCGCACGCGGCACACAGCACATACAGCTTCGCCTTTTTCTCTTTTCTGTCTGTATACGTATATACACGATTTGTATGTGTATGCTTGAGTGTGTACCTTATGCGTGCTCTATAGTATACGTTCGTTTTTGAAACGGCTGAAGCAAGCTGCTGTCGACTGTATATAGCGTATAGGTACGCGGCAACGACCGTTTCGCCGAGCGTCAAGGGGCCTTCACAATCGCCCTGGCCTTTTTCGCAGTGTACTACAGCAAGCGAGCGCGGGGGAGTGAGCAGTACCCGCGAGGGCACACTGTACATAAAGTAAGTGTCGCACAAAAGGTACTGTGGCAGCATGGGGCTATATATGCGAACGAACGAACGAATCGCGCGCTTTGACATCGACACTGCTCCAACTGCCGTATAATATGCCTACATGCTACTAGGATGCTGCTGCTGCTGCTGCTGATGCTGCACTGCGCGCATATGCACTTGCATATATCGTAACGTACTGTTTCGGATTGATGCGCGGGGCAATTCACCATCACCCTTCTACGTTTGCCAAGTAGGCAGCTCTCCCTGACAATTTTCTACCCTCGAGTGAAGTCAATTTTTCGGGGGCATAATTAACGGAGCAAGTAACGGAGTGGAGCCTGCGGCTATATATTTTGTCGCGGTGTTTTTTGCTCCGAAGCTTAGGACAGATAGTACGCCGAGGGTCAAGTTTTCTCATTAATCGCTCTGACTGTCTGACCAGAGATGCAAAAGTAAGATCCCTTAGACAGAACGACAAAAGAATTGCGGTTTTCTTTAGCTATTCTCGCGCTCAAGTTCACTGTCAATATTCGCCTCTTTCTCGGGCTCGCTTGGGAACGCTTCATTGGACCCATTGTCGGTCGCGAGCGCGCGTATTATGGCTACCTTGGCTATTATTACGACGGCCATTTGTAGCTGGTCAGCCTCTAAATTGTCCAAGACTTTTCAATATGTTCCAACGTCGAGAAAAATTACTCTGAAACGACTCAAAACGAATCGTATATTTTTCTCCATTACTTTTTGCATTATCGTTAAATGGACTATTTGACAATGTATTCGAGAGTGGACGAAATTGATCGTTCGTGTTCGTTACGAGTTATGTGCTTGTTAAACTCCAAAATTTCGAACGTGTATAATACAAAAAGCACGAGTTGCAGGAAACGTTGATGCATTGCATACATTTTCTTGGTGATGGCGAAGCCTTAGGTGTCGTTTTGAAGTTTGTCACCCTCGCGGAGAATGTCTAATACTGCTCGCGCGCAAACCACGCGCACTTGGTCAAACCTATTTGCAGAATTGCTGCTCGTCCATCACCTGTTCGGGAACTACAATAATTCTCTGTCAAACCGCATCCATAATCGCAACTTCGACTAAACTATCAAAATTTCCTCCTCGCACCCAAGCACTCGTCTACCCTTCGAAACAATCTGCCGATTGAATAAGGTCAGATATGGTTATATATCTACAGCGACTTACGTAAGTGGCAAATTCGAAAGATGATTTTTCATTCGGAATTAATCGATTCGCGGAGAGAAACTAAACCACACCGTATTGTTAAAAGAGCATCGGGATGTTCGCTAACTAGCTTGGCTATTGTGAATTTGAAGGAAGAAAAAAAGCCGTTTTTTTCGCCTAAGAAACCTTATGCGAGCCAGTCGGTTGGCTTCGGACTACACTATACACATATAACGATAGCTTTGGCTTAAAAATTTATATATTCGCTGGCCCTTAGTGACCGGTCCAGCTGCCTTTAAACAGGCAGGTGAGACGAAACTAATCACTTCCATAGTATTTCACCCTTTATTTCTTTTATTCATACATCATTATGAAACGATTTTTTATTTCACTTTCAACAATCAAGTATGGGCTAGAGCATAAAAATTACGAGGTGTCCATTTACACGTTTTATATTCGATCCTAATTACCATCTCGGTATTAATTGAAGTGACTTGCCAAAAAAAAATTAGTCGCTCTCTAATAATAAAGCGATAAAACTAGTGCTTTTGAAATTATCCGAGCTGATTCATCGTAACGTAAATTATAGATTTCCTAACGGATGTCGAAAAGTTCACAAGTACATTTTAGGATCGACTTCCTAAATTTTTTAAAACGGTTCGGTACAAACAAACAAATCGGCAAAAGTTCAAAAATTGAACATTCAAAATATCCTTAATTTTGTTTTAAAAAAGTTTTAAAAACAACGTGGACAAAAAACCACGCACAGTCAGTGCGCACGAACTCGCGCCAAACCAAAATCATTATATAGCAGGCACAGCTTATATGTACGCGTGTAAAATAAAGCAAGCCAAATGAAAGAAGAAAGAAAGAAGAAGCCAGGTACATAATACGAAAGACAGAGAGAGGAGTGAGGCCCAAAAATAAAGGGGGAGAGTTTGCGAAGGAGAGGAAGCGCGCGCTGGCGATGATGTCGGCTGTGTGCCGTAGGGGAATATACAACGAGCGACGCGTCGAATTTAGACTGTCGGTCTGTCGTGCCGTTGTGTGTTGCTGCTACTGCTGGTAGGCACAGCCCATAATACAGCAGGTGGCTCTTTCTTTTCTCTTTTCCTTAGCTATCACTTGCCTGCGTTGTATATATGTGCCCTGTGCGCCTTTTTTATTTTATTTATATATATAACTTTCGCGCGCGCTCACGTTCTGCAATGCACGAGCTGCAGTAGTGCAGTAGGGAGAATTTGCGCGCCGTTTTTCGACCTTCTCCTCTTCTCGTCGTTCCCTTTCGCGAAAAAAGGAGCAAATAATAAAAAGACTCGTGAATGCATCGCGATCGTGGCCCTCTTCGTGCGACGACACTCGCCCGATATAAACTCCTTGCTGCTGCTACATGCATACACCACGATACTCTATGCCTCGCTATGAAAATCACGGCAGTGCAGCAGCAGCAGCAGCTCCAAATTCAATCGGTACAGGATTTCAGCATTTTTTTTCTCCATCTCCCTTTTTCGACGGCACATTGCCACGCGGTTCAACGTTTCCTATTCTCCGCGTGCGGCTAGCGCTGACCATTTAATACTCGAGAGCTAGCTCGCGCGGGCGTTACGATACTCTTTCGACGTATATGTATCTCGAAAAATAGGTTCAATTGGAAAGGTGGGGCAGAGGTATATAGGTATGCGTACGATATAGCGCGCGCGATTGAAATCCGAGTTAGGAAACTAGATATGTAAATACAGTAGGCAGTGTGTATACACAACGACCGGTGCAGGTTTTATGGTGATCGAATATGAGTTTTTCCGTATAGCTATGTACTTGTGTGCGTGAGTATATTTCGGAGCAGCGCCTATGTGTACATAATTTGTGTGCCTTTCGAAAGCCGGCACACGTCGCTGTCTCTCTCTACTCTTCACACATCCATATCCACACGCACGCACACCGACAGAGTCCCGCAGTCGACGTACGTGTGAGTATTGTATGGATAGGCGCACGTCTTCAAAGAAATCAGGAATTTTTATTGAGTACGCCGAGGTTGGAGGTAAAATCTCTGCCAAGGAGTACAATGGACCGAATCCAATCGAACTCTTTATTTTTCAATAGATACACTATTATTCGATCCCAAAGCATAACCATGAAGTTCGCGCCACGACTCCTTTATTCGGTTACGATTCCTTTTGAGAAATCTTACTGAGAAGTATAGGTAGTGGTAACGACTATTGAATTTGATTAGCTTTTGATCATCGAGTACGTATTTATAATAATATTATAATGGCGATAAACACGTCGTTGCACGCGCCATTAAAAAGTTAGAAAACAGATAGATAGAGATGGAAATGGAAACTATATGTTAATTCGGAGGATTTATAATGGTGCCACCGCATTAATCATTAGATAGATTTTATCGAGATAGTTCACTCTCTCAATCTCTTTCCTCAACCAAACGATCGTATTGTAAATCGTAACGCGCTGTTCAAACATTCTATTACCGTTCTCGGGTCGTTATAAAGAAATCGCAGCAAGAGACCGGGTGTTTGTTGATAATGCATTGATTTCAGGCGGCTCCCGAACACATGTAAATCGAGGAAGCATAAAACGCTCGAATAAAAGTAGTACTGGCATCGCGCGCACCGATACACGGTATTATATATATATCGTTATACACGTACACGTATATATGTGTGCCACGATATGTGTGCTAGAAAATGTGCAACTACGCGCGTATGTGCACATGTGCGTATGTGAGTATAATGTGTGTGTGTATGTGTGGGTGTGTGTGTACGAGGCTGCATGCAACAATACAACGACAATGCACGTATTCGAAGCTATCCAATTAAAGATTTCCAATATCCGCTGCCAGTTTGTAGGTTTTGCATGGCCCACGGCTACGGTGCAGCAGAGCCAGTGAAATAGAGAGAGAGAGAGAGATGCTGCTATATAACGCGGCCAGGCGTGCACACACTCATACACAGATATACACACGACGGTGGTAGAGACCTTTTCCATTAGTTGTCCACCTCGCGCGCGCGAGAGCTCGTACAGTTATACGCAGACCCGGTCGTGGATGTACCATACTGCCGCGCGCGCGTGCAGATATACATTGAAGAGGATAGCTGCTGCTGCGGCACGTCACTCGTGCTTATAGCGCAAAAAACGGAGAGAGTTAGAGAGAGAGAGAGAGAGAGAGAGAGAGAGAGA